AATTTTAAAGAGTTAGTACCAAAAGTAGTTTCTTGCTTTTCCTGGAAAATTTATTGGTTAGGGCGAATTAAGGTAACAATATACACTTGTGATCAGTTGATTAATTCATCAACATTTTGATCAATTGTGCCTATTTTTCTTTTGTTTATTTTATGTTTTTTATTTTTCCATAAAAGTCTAATTGTTACAGTAAACTGATGGCTGAGTGGAAGATCGACCTATCTCAGCAGCCAGTTCAAAAACGCCCTACTTCAGAATTTGATTGAATAATGCCCTATCTCATAATTCTGTTGAAGAACGCCCTATCTCAGCTGCCGATTCAAAAACGCCCTATCTCAAACGAAAATACATTGAAAATAAGCTGAGATAGGGCGTTTTTGAATCGGCAGCTGAGATAGGGCGTTCTTGGAAAATTTGCTGAGATAGGGCGTTTTCGAACTGGCTGCCGAGATAGGTCGATCTTCCACTCAGCCATCGAAACAATACTTCAAACAATAAATTTGAAATCGTACGATTTGCAGAACATGCCTGAATACATATTTCATAATTCATTAATTATTATAAATTCATTACTTATTTAATTTTTAATAAAGCAGAATTAAACTAAATTAAAGCTACATGTGTATTCATTTATGAAGAGTGGATGAGTAAGCAATGAAGAGAAGGTATGGACTCAGTTTCGTGCTCCCAAAACGAGGCAGACGTCAGTAGAGTAAACATATTCCCATTCACTTGCATTGCCTGTGAAGAAGAGTAATTATTTTTAGTTCCAAAATACAGTCATATTGCACACATTCTTCAAAAGTGACACAACTAAAAATTACACGTTCGTCAGAAAATGCGAAATTTGAATTTGAATTTATAATCTCTGGTTGTTGTGCATGCACTTTAATTAAATACATAAATAAACATATAATTTAATATATAATCGCACTATGTTATGGAGAATTCAGAGAGGGTTAAGAAAGCCTCAATGCCTTATACATACACTTGAACGAAGTGCTCGGTAAGACATGGGTCCGATCGCCTCGAATCGCCCACCTGATCTACAAAAAATTCATTAGACCAATAATGGACCCATGGCATCTTGGTATGAAAGAAAAACATACGTCCGTCAAAAGGTTGGAGGGTGTCAAAGGCTTGAGGAACTATTTATCTATAGTTGGGCCGGTAAATCACACTATTCCGTTCCTCAAACTCCTAAAAAACCAAGCTAATCTAACCTAGGCATCGAACCTCTGAGGTAGATAAAAAAAAAACGAAAATTTCAATTTTATATTTTCATTTACTTGATACACCAACCTTAGGCTAGATTTAATCTTATTGACTGTGGATACATTAAAAATAGCAAATTTACAATAGGTACATCCACTTTTGTTTGATAATTCACACTTGTTACACAGCTAAATATTTTATTGTATATTTGTATTAATGTATTTGAAAGTTTCTATTACAAAGTAGTTGATTAATGATTCTTTCTTTTTTAATAATTCAAAAATGTGCTATTAAATTAATTATATATCAAACGTAGTTTGAACACCGATGCGCTGTTTTATATATAATTGCATATCTTACAACAGCATCTTGTCGGGAACATGTCGTATACATATGTTGTGCCGTTTTTTTGTGCCTGAAAACGTTTCTGTTCCAGAAAATCTTTGGTCATGTAGGGCGTGGAAATTGGATGACCATGCAGTGAGCCCAGTTTTTCGCCATACGCCTTAAACTTAATCTGAAATAAACCAACAAAACAAAATTTATTTCATTTGCAATGTGTTGAGACATTACTCTTCGGTATATTTTACTTACAATGCCCGTCTCTGGATCCGTGACTTCCGTGTACATAGCAATATCTAAGAAGTCATTGGCAATGCATAAGCTTATGGCCTGCGTTGGCGCTTGCGGTGACTGTCGGATCAGCATTTTAAACCAGCTTGCAGCACACGTAATTTCCACAGACGTGGACCGTAGCGCATTATCATTCTGGTGACAGATTCCTCAATCTTATTATAACAGTTGGCACGAAGTTTAGGAAAATATGATTACAATCTGTGCGCTTGGAATGCGGATGCGAGAAGGCCACTTCCAATTCGTCCATTGATTCGAGTAACACGCCTTCGCCTTCGTTTTGTAGATATTCGAATGAAGCCTCTTTGGTGTTGAGATCCGAATGTCGAATAATGGAACGTATGAAGGAACGATAGTCGGTGACTTCTTTACCCTTCGTACCCTTGGCTTTACCCAGATGGAGGTGCATTTTTTGATTCGCAGTTGGTAAGGCTTCCAATTCATAGGAATTCATGCGATTCAGTTCAAGTTGGAAAGCACATGCTGGCTCCAAGTGACGGTATATTCTATCTTCTTCGAAATTGGGAATTGGCGTCTATACAAAAATTTTTAAAAGATAAATAGGTAAAACAATGAAATAGAAACATGTCGCTCACTTGCGGCGCTGGAAGAGCTCATCACGGTGAAGTTTACAAAAACTGCCAAAAATATGCACCATTTGTACATCGTCCATGTCGCCGTTGTCGGAAGTCATTGCCAATGCCTGATTTGGCTGGATTATTTTTTGGAGTTGAGCTGTGATACGGGTGGCATATTCTGTAAATAAATAAATATCAATTAGGGGATTCCCTTAAACGCGAAGAGCAGAAAACTCGAAAACCTCGAAAGTTTTCGAGGCTGTTTTTGGGAATGCACCTTTTTTCAGCCTCGTAAACAATGGAGAAATTCCGAAGTTTGACAGCTCATTCAGAGTTTTTTGTATAATACATCGCATCAGCTGAAATAAATACATATAAAATCAGCATTGAAAATGCCACGAAAAAATGAAAAATGTAAATTGTATGAAGTTCGTAGAATATTCGGATATAAAGGCAACACTGAAACTTACGAACGACTTTTCGAGGCTTTTTTCGCGACTAATTTGCCGCGAAAATCGCCACTCATACAATTTTTGACAGTTGTTTTTCGAGGCTGGAAAAGTTTCGAGGTTTCGTGGTTTTCGAGCCACTTTCGAGCTTAAGGGAATCCCCTATATATATATAAAAAGAAGTTACATTTCCTTGGTAATCTTATAACTCAAGAACCGCCGAACCGATTCCCACGGTTTTGCATTCGTTGGAAAGGGCTCGGGCTCCGTGAGGTTTGTAGCAAAGAAAATTTTTATAAAATAACTAGGGTCTCGAGATATAGACCAAAACGTGGACCTGGGTAACCTTGGGTGTATTTGTTCAATATGGGTATCAAATGAAAGCTGTTCATGAATGCTTTAAGATTGAGCACTTTTCATATAGCTGGGTGACTAGGGTCTCGAGATATAGACCAAAACGTGGACCTGGGTAACCTTGGGTGTATTTGTTCAATATGGGCATTAAATGAAAGCTGTTCATGAATGCTTTAAGATTGAGCACTTTTCATATAGCTGGGTGACTAGGGTCTCGAGATACAGACCAAATCCATTATCGCCTTGCATGGCTGGTGGAAAGTGCACAAAACGATATCCGCGACCGTTAGTTGCTGAAACAGTCACAGGGAACGATGGATATCCAGTTTATCGTCGACGTTCAAAAGAAGATAATGGTCGAACTATCAAAGTTAAAGTTCAAAATCAAATGATTGAGATCGGAAATGAATTCAATGTACCATATTGCCCGCTGCTATCACGAATTTTCGAAACACATGCGGACGTTGAGAGTTGTCATTCGGCCAAATCAGTTAAATATTTGTGCAAGTACGTCACAAAAGGCAGCGACATGGCTGTGTTTGGTATTGCGTCGGAAAATGCGAATGACGAAATCAGCAACTTCCAAATGGGCAGATACGTCAGTACTAATGAAGCACTGTGGCGATTATTGTCATTTCAAATTCATGAAAGATATCCCACAGTTGTACATTTAGCAATCCATTTGGAAAATGGACAAAGAGTTTACTTCACTGAGGCTAATGCGGCACAACGAGCTGAGAGACCACCATCGACAACATTGACTAGCTTCTTTGCAATGTGTGAAGCAGATCCATTCGCAGCGACGCTGCTGTACGTTGAAATGCCCAAGTATTACACTTGGAATCAATCAACAAAGAAATTCCAACGTCGCAAACAAGGAACCCCAGTTCCAGATTGGCCACAGGTGTTTTCCACTGATGCGCTAGGTCGCATGTATACTGTTTATCCTAGAAATGATGAATGTTTTTATTTACGACTGCTGTTGGTAAATGTACGTGGACCAAAATCATTTGCGCATTTGAAAACTGTGAATGGCCACCAATGCCAAACATATCGAGAAGCATGTCAACCTTCGGGTTTGCTGGAGAACGATTCTCATTGGGATTTAACGCTTGCGGATTCAGTTGTTTCATCAAATGCGTACCAATTACGAACGCTGTTCGCAATTATCATCACCACATGTTTCCCTTCACAACCAATTCAGTTATGGAACAAATACAAAGACGACATATGTGAAGATATTTTGCATCGCTTGCGCATTCAAACGAATAATCCCGACATGGAAATAACCGATGAAATATACAATGAAGGATTGATTCTGATTGAGGATCAATGCTTGACTATTGCAAACAAGCTACTGATTGAAGTAGGTATGATTGCGCCAAATCGATCGATGCACGATGCATTCAACCAAGAATTAAATCGAGAGCTGCAATATAATGTTGATACATTGCAGGAATTCGTTCGAAATAATGTGCCTTTGCTGAATGAACAGCAAAAATAAGTTTACGATACATTAATGCAAGCGGTGGACAATAATACTGGTGGTCTATTCTTCCTGGACGCACCTGGAGAAACAGGGAAAACATTTGTCATTTCATTGATTTTGGCAACTATTCGATCAAGGTGTGACATAGCTTTGGCATTAGCTTCATCTGGAATTGCGGCGACTCTTCTAGATGGCGGTCGTACTGCACATTCTGCGCTTAAGTTGCCACTCAATTTAAACACAATTGATACTCCAACATGCAATATTTCCCGATCTAGTGCAATGGGAAAATTGTTGGTGCAATGCAAGCTCATTGTTTGGGATGAGTGCACAATGGCACATAAGAAATCACTTGAAGCACTTAACTTCACACTGAAGGATCTTCGGCGAAATAACAACATATTTGGCGGCTTGATGATATTGTTGGCAGGCGATTTTAGGCAGACGTTGCCAGTAATTCCCCGTGGAACGCCTGCAGATGAATTGAATGCTTGCCTGAAGGCATCACCTTTGTGGAATAACGTAAAAGCATTATCGCTAACTACTAATATGAGAGTTCAACTTCAAAATGATCAAAGTGCTGCACAATTTTCCAAACAATTGTTAGCTGTTGGAAATGGAAAAGTTCCAGTTGATGCGACAACTGGATTAATTACTCTTACCAACGACTTTTGCCGATTTGTAGACTCTCAATTAGCTCTTATTGAAAATGTTTTCCCAAACATTAGTGAGAATTATCAGAATTATGCGTGGTTAAGTCAACGAGCAATTCTCGCCGCAAAGAATAATGATGTACACGCACTGAATTTCACCATTCAATCAAAAATCGATGGCGATTTGGTGACATACAAATCCGTTGATTCCATAACAAATTCCGATGATGTTGTAAATTATCCAACAGAGTTTTTGAACTCTCTGGAGTTACCAGGATTTCCACCACATAACTTGCAACTCAAAGTTGGTTCAGTTATTATGATATTGCGTAATTTTAATCCACCGCGACTTTGCAACGGTACTCGACTTGCGGTGAAAAAACGTATGCCGAATTTGATTGAGGCAACCATTATTAACGGAAAGTACGCAGGTGAAAATGTTTGTATTCCTCGAATACCAATGATTCCGACTGATCTTCCGTTTGACTTCAAATGATTGCAATTTCTGGTTCGCCTTGCATTCGCAATGACAATTAACAAGTCGCAGGGCTAATCGCTTAGTGTTTGCGGGATAAATTTAGAAAATCATTGTTTTTCATATGGGCTGCTATACGTTGCGTGTTCACGAGTTGGGAAACCATCCGCTTTGTTTGTGTTAACGACAGACCAAAAAACAAAAAATGTGGTTTACCAAAGAGCACTTCAATGAAACAGATAATTTGCGGACACGTATAACGCTTCGATTCAGATTTTTTACTTAGAGAAGTTCAACTAAATTACACTTCATTTTTGTAATCGAAATGAATACATTACTGTTGTGAAATGAAATAAAATTTTTCCTTTTCAAATATAAAACAAAAGAAAAATTATTTTTCTTCATCTTTTAATCCCCAAACGAAATGTTACAAGAAACGAAGCCATCTGGTGGCGAAACGGAGTTCGCCGGGTTTGCTAGTGTTAAATATAATCCGATAATGTTTAATTTTATTGAAATACTTACATACTTCAATTCGCGCGAAAACAATCGATGAAAATGAAAACAATAGGGCTGTTCAGGATGTTGTGGCAATGGGTTTGGATTTGCAGCTTACTTTATAGTTGCAGTTTGTACTTTATATGCAATAACCCCATTGCCAGGGCAGAGAAACATTTGGCAACAAAAAATAATTATTTAAATAATGTCGTATATTTTGTGGAGAAGAACTTTCATTTAAATCTAATTTTTCGAATTCTGGTAAGGTACTCGGATTTCGCTGGATTCGTTGTTGGGTTTCTTTTTCAAGTAAGAAGGTAGTATATGATATACCATCTTTTTTTCTTATAAAATTATGTAAGATACAAGCGCTTTGTATTATTGAAATGATGGT